ACGTATCAAAGTCACCGCGGGGGCACAAAACTTCGGCCGATCGCGCAGTTTTGGCCCACCCCGCTGACTTTGACACAACGCGCCATCTTAGATTCAGCGGTTCATATGCGGGACTCTTCGGCGATCGCGCAGCACCTTACGTATACATATGCGGGACTCTTCGGCGATCGCGCAGCACCTTACGGTTCATATGCGGGACTCTTCGGCGATCGCGCAGCACCTTACGGTTCATACTGTACATATATGTGTATGCGGGACTGGACGTGGTGGTCCCGGAATAGGGAGAAGAACGGTGGTCGCGAGGGGACGATTTGATTCTACAGTATGGGCCAAGCCCGACATCCCCTGGGCATCCCCTCCCATCGCCTCGCCGCACGTGTAGCCTCGCCGCTGTACCGCAGAGGCGCGCAACGGACACGCGCCCCCCGGGAAACAAGGCTTCACAATTCCGCCGACGTGCTCGAATTCCGTCCGCCGTTCGCTTCTGATCTTCATACGTCCCGCGAGACTTGCAGTGGAGACATGACGTCAGCTTCAATGTAGTTTACTTATCCAGGTGCAGTACTTTTCTGATTATTTTATGAGGGTTATTGTTATGATAAGAGACAGATCTAAACATGAACTTACCCATCATGTGGAGGTACGTCATTCACGGCCGGAAAGCGTCATACAGACCATCGCTGCTTAAATTGGCTCGTCGACATCGACTACAGTTTATCGTCTGCGCTTATCATGGATGCGGCTGCCGTCTTGTACATCACTCTCCTCTCGACGCAACCTCTCGACGCAACCTCTCGACGCAACCTCTCTACGCAACCCGCTAAACAAACCCGTCCCCTCCCCTGCGCCCTTCACGCCATGCCGACGCGCCGCGCCCATCGTCAAATCTCTTCCATGCTCGCGGCGCGCCACACCCCTCGTCAAACCTCTTCCATGCTCGCGGCGCGCCACACCCCTCGTCAAACCTCTTCCATGCTCGCGGCGCGCCACACCCCTCGTCAAACCTCTTCCATGCTCGCGGCGCGCCGCACCCCTCCCTCCACCTCTCCGCGCGGCCCGCGCCCCGCCTGCTCCGCCGCGCAGCTGTCCGCCGCGCTAGGCCTCGCGCGGAGCGCCATCGACAACGACTCGGACGTCCTCCCGCAGCAGGAGCATCTCCACCATCTCTCCACCCTGCTCCCCCCGCTCTCCGCCTCGCTCCCCACCCTCCACGCGCGCCTGCTGTCCGACGACCCAGACCCGGAGGTCCCGCTCTTCCGCCGCTGCCGCCGCCTGGCCCGCCCGCTCTTCGCGCACGACGTCGCCCTCCCTCTCTTCCACCTCTCCGCAGACCTGCTCACCTGCGTCGCGCTCCCCGCGCCCCCGCCGGTCGCCGCGCTGCACCTCTCGCTCTCCGCCGTCTGCGCGCCCGGCCGCACCGCCACCCGCCGTTTCGCCCTCGTGCTCGCGCCGCACGTCCCCGCCCGCGAGAACGCCGCCAACCTCGCCATCTTCGTATCGTCCGTGCGCGCCTTCGCCGCCGCGCGCGAGCTCCCGCCGCTCCCGCACAACCACTTGCGCCTCTCCGTCACCCTCCTGCCAGCCCCAAACGCGCCCGCCCCGCTCTTCCACCGCCTGCGCCACCGCGTCGCCCTCCGCCTCGCAGACCTCTCCGCAGGCCACCTCGGCTTCCAGGCTGACCGCGTGTTCGGTACGCTCCACGTCAACAATGCGCCGTACACGTTCCCCCCCGCGCCCGACTTGCGCTTCCAGAAATACGTCGACGCGGATCTCGTCTCCGAGGACGTCGCCGCGCAGCTCGCCGCACAGCTGCTGTTGCGCCGCTCGTCGTCTAAGCTCACGGACATCTTGCAACATACCATGGATTCCCGCGTCACCACCGTGCGCATCCTGTGTCTGTCGCAGGGCTCGTGGGCCCCGCTGCCGCTGTTGTGCGCGGCCCTGCGGCACCATTCGGACCACATCCGCACGTATGTGAACGCGCACGGGTTGCGCACGCTCGAGATGCGCCTAGACGACTTTGGCGAATGGGACCAGGCCATATTGGATCACGCCCTGCTCAAAGGCATGACAGCCGCCGTGCTGTTGTTCCGCTTCCAGCATCTAGAGGGGCTGGGGCGCGCCATCTCGCGCAGCAAGGCTATTACCGACAAGTTTACGGGGCTCACCACCGATGTCGGCCGCATCATGTACATTGACACGGCGACCAAGTACGGGTTCACGCAAGCCAGGAAATGCGTGCAGGAGGTGGCTGTGGAGCGCCGGTTTTTCGAGCCGTCGGCGCAGAAGGACGTGTTTTTCGAGGCCACCGACGCGGCGTGGATGGAGGCAGACATCAGCGAACGGGTGCAGAGCAAGACGAGTCTGCTACACGCGGAGTTGAGGGGGCCGTCACGGCCGTACCTGGAGAAGATTGTGCGCATTGTGAACCGGGAAGTGTCGACGGAAGAGGCGCGGGAGGAGACGCAAGAATGCATCGCATTCCTGCTGCGGCTCAAGTCTGCGATCAACACAAAGATCACGGTGCGCAAGGACCCACGGTGCATCACAATCCGGCGCGGCGACGCGACCGGGTTCGGCATTACGGGACTTCAGATGAGGCGGATGATGCGCGAGCAGGACTACCGGGACTTCCACGACGTGACCACGACCAAGCCGTACACGGTGGACGTGCGCGTGTTCCTGGGCGAGACAGCGACAGCGGCGCACGAGGTGGGGAGGTTCGGGAAGAAGTGGGGCGTGGTGACTCGGCTGGGAGGCGTCGCCGACAGCGAGAGCGAGACGTTCATGGCGGTCGCCAACGAGCGCAGGACCGTGCTCGAGAGCGGCAGGGAACGGTTCGTGACAGGGGTGAACGTCACCGTGCTTGGCGGCGAGCTGGAGGAATACCTGCACGCGAGGATGATCGGCGCATGCTTGGCGGCCGTAGATGCCGATCGAGAGCAGAAGACGCAAACAGCTGCCGCGGCGTTGCTGAGGCTGGTGCCGGCGTTGTATGGGCTGATCCAGCCTTCGATGTAGGTAGGGTTGCGGTGGAGGCGGGGCTGTGTTTGTAGAAATGTACAATAGAGTAGGGTGTAGAAGGTGTGTGGATGTAAGGATTGAAAAAGCACAGGTTGGTAATGTCCCAAGGCTGTGTCAAATTGATTCAAATCAATTGATTCGAGATTTAATTATCCCAGAAGGAGATGTCCAAGGGGATGTCAGAGGGGCGGTACATGTTGTCGGTGAAATGGGGGAGGCGGTTTTGGGGAGTGTGCCGTTCCGTGGTGAGGGTCGGCCGAGTGTGGTCTTCTCCCCCTTTTTCCCCGCAGCGCCCGTCACCCTCTCTCTTTTTTTTCTACGAAATTCCTTCCAGAAGCGTCCACGCGTCCGGCCCGGATTCCGCCGGGCCGTCCTCGTGCGCTTCTCTAAAATTCAAATAAAATCTCGGACTACAGAATAAAATCTCCCTCTACAGTAAAATGCAATTTTTCCCTAAAAATATCTCACATGACCCCCCCGCTAGGGCAGCCCACGGGGCTGCCGTTGCACGTAAATATACTGGCCCCGCTTCCTCGCGTGACCGCTCTAGCCCTCCGGCCAATGTGTCTCCACTTTTCCACCGAACCGCCTTCCTCTACGCGGTCCTCGCTCTACACCACTTCATCCGCTCCACCGCCGTCTTGCACCGACTACGCTCGCATCGCTTCTTTCTCGCGCCGCCTGTTATCTTGTGCAGGTGGGATCGTGGCTGAATGATATTGACCTGGTCCTCGATTGCAACGACAATAGACAAGACTTGTTTGACACTGTCACTCAAGGCCTTCAGGCTGGCATTGGTTCGACCTTGGAAATTCATGTTTCAATAAAGAGGGAGAGGCTCCAAGGCCCGAGGGATGGTAATGCTCGATATGTGACGACAAAATGATTGCAGGTTCGCTTTACACCGACAAATTGATTTCGGATTCGCGCTAGGTCGAGAAGTTGTGCAGTTAACCGTTCTTTGGCAGATTTCGTGCATTATACATGTTTCCCGGAACGAAAATCGACGCAAATCACAGATCAGGGCGAAAAACTACTTTCGTTTCAGATTGACAGGAGTGCGTACGGAATAGGGCATTGTTAATGAATCTTCAATCGTGGCGTTCGCTCAAGTTGTTCATGATCAATATCATTTGTTACACGCTGGCAGAAAATATGGCTCCGCGTTATGCATGCCCTCCTTGGTTTGAATGCGCTTGTGGATGGATTCGAAAGCCTGTTTGCCTTCGAACAATGCGCACACATCGAAACAAAGCAAACAGAAGAAGGAGGGCACTTCATCATGGAACCTTCCGGCGGGGCCCAAAAATTCCGGAAGGTGTAGAAAAGTATACGTTTCTTCAACTCCACTCCCTGGCGGATCACGAAAGCGAGGATGAGGAGATTGCGGTTCACGACGGGGGAGATGAGGAGAATGGAAACCTTGACTACAGCGGATGTGTGGAGGGCGAGAACTCCGAAGTAGCTGCTTCCGCTTCAGAAGGCATTGGCAGGCAGGAAGACAACATTGTTACGGAGTCTGTGTTTTCATCTTTCAGCTATTGCCCAACCTATTCCATGGGATGTGTGGAAAATGTGGGGCATGAGGCATGTAGCACAGGAAGTTGTGCCATCTCCTCAAGGATGAATATCGACGATCACGAGAATGTCGGCACAGACATGGCAGACCTCCCCGCGGCTGTTGTTTCTGAGAGTAGCCTTGGAAACGTGGAACATTTTTTACTCTAAAGTCGAACATGCTCCGATGCCCCATGTGGATGCTGTCGAAGAAGGCTACGGCACTGATGTCGCCACTCCATCAAATGGATCCACGATTTCGCGTGAGTGTTCCGAAGAGAAGGAAGATTTCGGGTGTAGGGGTTCGAGGGTCCCGGGCCTCATGGATTGGATATATGCAAATCAAAAACGTTTAGAGTACTACCAAAAGCATGGCACCACTATTACCGCTATGGAGGATTTGCTGCAGCTGTTCGAGGCTCCTTGCCAGACGTGGAAGACGGTCGTAAACAATGTTCTGAACGCATCCGGAACTTCGGGGGCCATAGAAGAATTCTCAATGTGCCCCGGGCACATGGCTTTCGTGGACTTAATAGAAGAAGCGAATGACGGTGTTTATCGGGATAGATGCACGTGTGGCTCGACGGCTGCTGATGTCACGGATGTTTTTCGATCCCTGCCGCTGTTGCCGCGGCTACAGTCTATTGGAAGAGACGAAGATGCTTGCCGTGCATTTTATGAGTACCGGTGGAGTAGAGAGTCTGCAACCGACGTTCTCCGGGACTATTACGATGGCACAGGATATAAAAGGCTTTGTGAAAGGTTTGAAGGAGATGAAGGTATGAAATATGACGTGTTCTTCGGTCTCTCTGCAGACGGATTCCAGGCTTTCTAAAACAAGCGTTGTGACGTATGGCTAATTTCTGCATTGAACTTTAATCTCGCGCCCCATTTGCGGTACAAGGCGAAGAACGTTCTTCCGATCGCCTTCGTTCCCGGCCCCAACCAGCTCCAAGACATGCAATCCTTTCTCATACCTTTTTGAATGAGATTTGGCGCACACATCACGAGAATGTGACCATAAAGTTCTACGATGGAGTGGAACGGCGAGTTCGCATTCACCTCCTATATTTTTCGGGGAGATCAGCAGGCTATCAGCAAATGTGCAGGGCTGGTTGGTTACAACAGCAAGTCTCCATGCCGAAGCCGTAAGATCCACGGGGAGTATAGCGCTCATTACTACTTTCCGTCAAGAATCCTCGATGGACACACGCTGAAAACTCTGTTTGATATCCGTGCGCTGCCGTAGCGCTCCACCGAAGAATGTTATGATACTTTAGACGTATTGGGGCAGCTGTCGGGGGCTCCTCTTCGGGAATACAAGAAGAATACGGAGATCCGCGAGGGGTCTGTTCTTTTCTGCCTTCCTGGCATTGAGCCGTACGAGTCCTTTCCTCAGAACATCATGCACACGTTTCAAACGTGCAACGTGGGCTACTCCGGTTAATGAAAAGTGACAAGTACGAGGATGGCTTCACGCTTTCTGCCGAGGTAGTAGGGCGGATGGACGAGGAGCTGCTTGAGTGGGGAATGGGTATTGCGGGGGAGTTGGCCACGAAACCGAGAAAGCTTACCAATAGCTCGGATTGGAAAGCGGCTGAGTACAAGCAGTTCACCCTTTCATATTGCCTGGTGTTGTTCGACGGATACCTTGAGCAAGAGTACATGAATGGACTTCAAAAATTCGTAGAGGTCGTAGAAATCAGCTCTGCGCCCACAATCCTCCGTTCCGACATCGGCCGTCTTCGTCGAAGCGCAATTGATTTTGTGGATCACTATGAAACGCACTGGTTCCGCTTCCGCCCAGAGCGAGTGAGTTTTTGCAAGTCAATTATTCACGCAATACTCCATCTCGCAGATTGCACCGAGCGCTTCGGGCCGCTTTGCAGAGTGTCCCAGTATTGGCTAGAGCGTGAAATCGGATGGCACATGAGCAAGCTGAACGCACGAACCCGCCCGGCGGAGTCCATGTTTCGGTCTGTTTGCTTCCCGAAGCGCATAAAATTTTATTCAACAGACTAATTTCTGAAGACGACAATGTGTATGGAGATGTGGCTGCCGGTGGGGGATTCGGATGATGGCACCATCGTTGGTTCGAAAATTGTCCGAAATGGGGGAACAGGCAGGAAGCCTGAGGAGTCTTCTTGTGGGCTATCTTATAAGAACATATCGTGTGCCCTTTACGGAGGCGCGGGGTATCGCGGGAGACGTGTCACATGTAACCCTCCACTCTCGCATGCGATATCTTTGCGGATCTGGAACCAGTGTTGCCCGGTGGGTTTTGGTCCCTACACGGGACGCAACCGCGAAAGCCTTATAACAGACCTATGCACTTTGTCGCTGTGGAAATGGACTCCACGGACAGCACAGCTGATGTTTACTACGGGCGGGTCCTTCGGATTATGGAGGTGAGACTCGGTGGTGTCGTGGACGAAGAAAGGGAATGGCACGGAAGACATGAGCTTGTTTGGATAGATTGGGGAATGGGGCTATCGGCTGGTGGACAAGGCCAGGTGTTCAAGGTAGGGCGTGCCTCGAATGCATTTTCGGGTGGCACCATTGAGAGTGCGACTATTGTCAAACGGCTGATCTCCGTTATTGAGCACAATGCACTGTCGCAAGTCGGGAATTACTCCAGGACACAAAAGCGAGCCTACTTTTGCGACAACAAAAGCCGGATGAACTGGCCAATTAGTTTAACAGTGAAGGGCAGCGATGGTGTTAATCGAAGGCTAAGAGGAATGGCCAGGAGACTCTAAGTGAACCTGGCTTTGGTGTCACACTTCATTTTGGGCCGGGGCGGGGGTGAGCCGTATGCGCATGTATGTGAAGGGGATGCGAGCGAGAATAATACAGCCCGTAGACGTGCGACAATAACTCCTGGGAAAGCCCGATATGGACCCCTGTCAAAAAGAAGACCCCTGTAAAAGTTGTTATTGCGAGCAAGAATCGAAGCGGAGAAACGCAATAGAAACGGAAATAATAGAGTGCGTAAAACATCCAGGGCACAATTGCATGCAGGGTGGTGGTAAAGTAAAAGGTCAGGAGCGAGTGTGGAGTGGGTGCACAGTGCGTTCGCCTTGCACGTGACACTCTTGGTGTCCTCTGTGTCCATACTTCGGTGTGGCGAGTGACACTCTGTCCACCCTCGCTGGGCCACGCGTAGCAGTACTGTATGCAACGGAGACGCAGGTACGGGGAGCCCTCTGTACACACGCTTACACCACACATGTAATTCTACTAGGATCCTTGCTCGCGGAGCATGATGGAAAAGCTGTCACAAGGGTGCGTGAAGGGCCATTTCGTAATAGGGTATCAATTTTGTCTACCACACCACTGGCGGAGGACGGCAGTGCCGCACCGGCAGATGCCATCTTCAGCTGCAAGCCTCGCTCGACGAGCAGTGACACAATTTGTGAAATGCCACTCTTGACAGTGCCAGCTTGGCAGGCGGTTCGCCGATCTCCAGTTCTCGGGTGCGCTGTCACACCGCCAACGGAAGTCCGGCCGCTCGAAGACTTCGCGCTGTACCGCGTGGCCCCGGAGCCACGCGCAATTGCGCACCTCGACGGCAGAGCCCTTGCGCATGAACTGGCCATCCAGTCCGGGCGCAAGCGCACCCAACGTCACGCAGACAAAAAGAAGAGAAAGGAGATAGATGTCAGAATCAAGTGCAGCGCCGGGACGGCTTCGGTTTGGGCGGGGGGCCGTGTGGTATCACAGCAAAGATTTGTAATTTGTACAGCACCCGCCGCCGCGGGTTCATTACAGGCGAGCGACTACACGTGGGCCTCACAGACGGATGGACTACACTTGTGCCTTACAGGCGGATGGACTACACGTGTGCCTTACAGGCGGGCGAACTACACGTGGGCATTACAGGCCGATGACGTACTGTATACATTACAGCCCGGAGGTTGTATATGACAAGGTACAGTAGTAATGGCCTAGTACAGTGCATTGCGCAATAGATTACAGTAGTACAGTAGGATGGACAATGTCCAAGAACCCGCGACCTCGCTTATTTAAGCGACGGCGCCGGGCAATGATAGTAAACAGTCAAGGATCTTTTGGGAACGGATTTCCTTCGACGGTGCGACACGGCGGGTCAAGACAAGCCTCTGACTTAGACGACATTGTCGGCATCTGTCTTGCGACGTTTCCCTGGCTCTATTGCCTTTACCATTTTCTTCTCCTTTTCTCCTTCGTTGTGACTACGCGGGTTAAGACTAGCCTCTAGCCTAGGCGTTTCTCTGTCGCTGGACGATTCTACTGTTCTCCCTATTACAGTTTTCCATCTGTCGTTGCGACTACGCGGGCTAAGAATAGCCTCTAGCATGGGCGTATTACTGTCGCACGACCTATTTCTCTCTCCCTAAATTGTGACGATTGTCAAGTCGCGGGCTACGACAAGCCTCTAGCCTTGGCGGCACTATTGACATCTGTCCCGGTCGTTCCCTCTAGGAGTTTCCGCTACTCGGGGCTCCGCCCGTTTCTGACACTAGTCTGTAGGCTCGGGTTCTCCCCTGTTTTGTGTGTTCTTACACAATCCCTTCCAGTGCAGGTCCCATTCCGGGTCCACACTTTGACCAGGTCGTCGTGCTTTTACAGTCGGCCGACGTACTTCCCCTTTCCTCTACCACCGTCCCGATCTACCGCGGGACACCCCCTATTAGTTGTTACCTCTTCCTCGAGCTAGCTCATAGCTGGCGACCGCCACTATACTACAGTTGGGAGTGTGCTAGTGTCGATCCCAAAATGAAATACTCAAGTTTTGGAATCTCTTCTGGATTTGGTAGAGTTTCTGTTAACTGAGCATGTGGGTTTGGTGTACATCATGCCATTCAGACCAAGTGCACGTGATGATTTGGAGGTGTGCCAGCAACCCTTTAAACGTCCAGGAGTCCTTAGAAGGAGCTGCAGGACAATGGCAGAACCATCGTTTTGCATGCATAGAAGATTGATAGACAATCTCAACTACGTTTCGCATTGCAATCATGCCAATCTTTCGCTTTGTGGATACCCATGCCTGCCTTGCTGTGAGAATGTCCGAAATGAACTGGTGAAGGTTCGAAGGGTTAACCCTGTCGTTTCGAGATTTCTATTCGAGCTTCTTGCCTCAGGAACTCACATTTCGCAGGCAAGACATTTAGGGAAACTCGTCTCTAAATGCATGAAGCGTCACATCGAGAAAGCAAAGGAATATTTTGGCGTGTTTGACAATAAAATCTCGCCAGAATCTGCCAAGTTCTCGGAGTTATATGCATCTGTCACAGAGATCACGATCGAAGATGGAACAAATTCTGGAGTTGATGCTCAGAATCACGCAGAGGGATGACGTCAAGAGCAGGGTGCTTTTTGAAGCAAAGTCATGGCGTGAAGACCAGGAAGCCAGCAGAATTTGTTTTCCTGGAAGGCGTCCGTGTCGCCCAGGAATTGTTTTTGAGGGATCGGAGACACATAAATCCGCCAACAAGTATCCTGTTTCAGATAGGCATACTCCAGGTCTTCTTACTGTACAGTGCGCATTCGAGAATCCGAAATGAATTGGCTTTGTCGTAATGACAACATCTGAGTCAATGTCACTTGCGCTTGCAACAGCGTTGAGAAACTTTCGAGTCCCACCTCGAGTCATATACTACGATAATGCATGTAACATGTTCTCGTCCACTATTCTGAGAAACAGCTGGCTACTCCACTGGAGCCGCCTGGTAGTGGACCGCCTTCATTACAAGTCGCACAAATGTTGTTCATTTTTCGACCCAGACATCTACGCAGAGCTCGACAGCCAGCGTACCACAACAGCCGAGTCTTTAATGTACGAATCGATAGAGTTGTTCACCACATGCGTTATCTCAAGGGTCATAATCTCATCCCGTTTCTGAGAATTCGGTTTGCATTTCTCAATCTTGCCACTGAGTACCAAAGAAAAAATAAAATATCAGACATGGAAGACGTAGACCTGACTACATTCTTTTCTAAAACAGTAACATGCGACTGCCCGGTTTGCGAGTGGCTGTAAGAAGACAAGGAGGGAAGGTTAGGCCAAAACCCAATGCAAGTCACGTGATAGTCCTCGTAATTTCCCGTAAAGAAGGGGTGCGTAAAAAGAAGACAAAGAATTATGCAATAAAAATGAAAGGTAGCGCAAAGTTCTTTGGGCAGAATGCCCTTCTCCGAAGCACATGGGCACCGTTCTTGCTGAGTAGGGTGAGAAGTGGCGAGACATGTCCCGTGTCATTGCCTCAGCTCTCTTCCAATACTCTTGTTTGGCATCTGAGAGCACAGCCCAGCCCGGGAACTCTCATTTGTTAGAAATCGTTTGTGAAGGGGACTCTCGCACGCTATTGCTTGGTTGAGGAAGGGGGTCTCGACTACGGGATGATTCCCGAACAAGTGGCTGCGGTTGGGAACAGAAGATATTCGAGATATCTAGATGCGACAATTCGAAATCATAGTCCACCTTTAGAATACTTTCAATGGTTTTGGCAAAGCTAGTACATTTTAGAGACTCTGGTCATTGCGTTGCTATTGCTAATGGCGCACTGTGTATCGCGGGTAACGCCGTCCCTGCCTGGCTCTCCCGGCCGGCCAAATAACCTGGGCAAATGAACCTGAGAACCAAAATTCCAAGATCGTCGATCTGAACGAACATATACTGGAGTTTGGGGGCATCCAGAGAAGGTGCGTATGGGTGCTCCCTTGTTTCAGAAAATTCTCATACTATTGGAGAAAAGGTACCTGTAAATAAATGCTATTCCCCTGGGAGTGTGGTTCCACCCAGATAAGGCAGCACCCAAATAGGGCACTGTCAATAGGGTGGCTCGTAGTCAGAACCAAATAAATCCGCCGTCGCCTCCGCCCCAACAATGGTCGGACGCATCGGACTCTTTCTGGCACTACAGGTTATGGGCACCACACACACCACTGCCACCCGATCCGCGGCATAAGACCATCCATCCCCACCGCGATAATCCCGAGCACACTAACACACAACTACTTTCCCAATCCCCGCGCACGCG